CTCCTAAAAATGCAGACGGTATTGAACCAAGCAATAAATATAAAGTAGGTTTTTTGGGAAATGTTTTCAAGTCAAAAAATTGAAAAAGGGCTATAGCAGAAACAACGATATTGAGCATTAAAGCGTCAGTCTTCATTTCAGTTTGTGAAAAGTTGAAAAGTACAAAAACTGCAATATAACCACTTGCTCCACCATGACCTACCGATGAGTACAATACAGACACTAAAAATAAAGAAATCAATAAAGTAATTATTATCAATTTAAATTGAAATAAATTCTATTTTTTCTCCAACAATAAAATATTCCTGATCTTCTTTTAGAATTGCTATACAATTCGCTCTTTTAAATGCATCCATTTGATAGGATTGTTGATTTTCAAGAATTTCAATATGACCATCTTCAAAGTAAGCTTTTACAAAATGGGTCAATGAATTTCCATTTTTTAAATAATCATGTTTTAGAAGTGCTTTTTTATAATTTGAAAAAGCATCTAAACTACCCATACTCATTTGGATAAACGGTTTTACGTAAATATGAAAACAAGTTAAAACGGAAGCTGGGTTTCCTGGTAAAGAAAAAATTTTTTTATTTTTCAGAGTTCCAAAATAGAATGGTTTTCCTGGTTTTTGTTTGACTTTGTAAAAAACCTCTTTAACTTTATTTTTTACTAAAGCACGGTGAACAAAATCAAAATCTCCAACTGAAATGCCTCCTGTTAAAATTAGAATATCAATTTTTTTTAAAGTGGTTTTTATGGCTTTGGAAATTTCATTTAAATCATCTCCTACGCTTAAAGTTAAAATTTGGTCATATTTCAAACATTGCAATGATGCTTTTAAACTCACAGAATTACTTTCGTAAATTTGTCCTTTTTTTAATTTTTGAGGAGGTTGGATAATTTCTGTGCCGGTAACTATTATTCCTATTGTGGGCTTTTTATAAACAGTTAACTTATGTATTCCAAAAGTAGCTAAAAATGATATAAACGATGCAGTTATTTTTTCATTTTTAAAAACAATAGCTGATTTTTTTTTAGTTTGGGTGCCTTGCTTTCTTACATTATTACCTTTTTCAAGTTTATTATGGATATGTAAATAACCATCTACAGCCGAAGTATGCTCTTGCATAACAACGGTATCAGCGTTTTTGGGCACCATTGCTCCGGTAAATATTCTAAACGTTTCTCCAGCTTTTATTTTTGGAATTTTAGTTTGACCCGCAAAAATAGTATGAGTAATTTTTAGAGGAATATTATTTTCGAAATCTTCATAACGAAAACAATACCCGTCGACCGACGAATTGTCAAAAGAAGGCACATCCATATTTGCAAAAACATCCTCCGCACTATAGCAACCACAAGCATGTAAAAGATCAATTGTTTCAACTTTTTGCAATGTGCAATTTTTCTTTAATAATCCAATTGCGTCATTGACCGTTTTCATTGACTGGTTTCATTGATTTGAATTTATTTAAGGAATTAATTATTTTGTCAGAAAATATTCCCATAATTAAAAATATAATCCCTGAATAGTATAATACAACGTAATCAAAATCTGTGAAACAAAACAACATTAATAACACCAATCCCAAGCAAGCTGCGCCTAAATAATATTTTAAATTTTTGTTTCTTTTATAACTAAAATAAATTCCAAGTATTGTAAATGAACCTAACAATAAGTATATAAAAAATAAAATCCAATGATTTGAAAACATATTTTTTAGACTGGAAAATTGACTAATCAACCAAAAATTTCCCAAAAAACTAAAATACGTGATGACACAAAAAGGACATTTAGGAATAACAACAATAAAAATAATACTTAATACACTTCCGCCCTTAAACCAAATTTTAGTCTTAGGTTTAAGTGGCGAAGGATTACAACACTTGTTTAAGTTAATATCATCTTTAGTTATGCCTTGCACCATCTTTGATTTTAAATACGTGAAATAAATGTGGTAAAATCGCGTCTAAGCATTCCTTCGCTCCATTTGGCGAACCAGGTAAAGTGATAACTAACATTTTATTATCAATAAAACCGGCAATACCTCTTGAAAGCATTGAATAAGGCATTCTCTGTTGCCCATAAAATCTTGTTGTTTCCATAATACCAGGAATTTCTCTACTGATTAATGGTTTAATAGCATCAGGTGTAAGGTCTCGAGGTGAAAGTCCTGTACCTCCTGAAAAAATTAAAAAATCAACCTCTTCATTTAACATTTTTTTTGCTGTTGCTTGTATGATATTAAAATCATCAGGAATAGAAATTGCCTCGGACGTTTGATAAGGATATTTTTTTAAATAGTCAAAAATAACTTTACCTGTTTTATCCTCATTAATACCTTTAGAAACACTATCCGAACAGATTACAATATTGATTTTTAGTTTATCGGGCATAGAAAACTTCAAATCTGATTTACCACCTTTCTTCTCTATTAATTGAATAGATTCAATTTTAATATTTTTATCAATAGGTTTTAGCATATCATAAATTGTCAATGCGGTTATTGACGCACCGTGCATCGCTTCAACCTCTACACCTGTTTTATAAATTGTATGAACTTCTACATAAATATGAATTGCCAATGCTTCAATATGAAAATCTATTTTTGAATACTCAATGGGCAGAGGGTGACAATCAGGTATTGAAGCACTTGTATTTTTAATTGCAAAAAGACCTGCCACCCTTGAAAATTCAAACACATCTCCTTTTACAATATTTTTTTGTACAACACTGTCTATAGTTTCTTGTTTAGATACAAGTACCGTAGATTTAGCAATTGCTTTTCGCAAGGTAAAATTTTTTTTTGTAATGTCTATCATTTTTATTGACAATATTTTAACATGTTTTATTTAAAATAAAATCAACCACCAATGGTTATCATACTTCTATTTTCAATATTATTAGCATCCACGATATTAAAATCTTTAGAAAACTGACCACCAAGTTCTTTATGTTTACTTTTTATATTTTGTAAAATGAGAGGAACTATATCTTCATTTTTTCTAAGCGGTGTTAAAATATCGGTTTCGCTTTTTGAAAACAAACAGTTTTTTAATTTACCGTCTGCCGTCAATCTAATTCTGTTACAGGTGTCACAAAAAGGGTTGCTCATCGTGCTTATAATGGCAAAACTATTTAAGTGGTTTTTTATACCAAAATTCTTAGACGTGTCATTAAGTTTATTTTGTAAAGGAAAATAGGAATATTTAGACTGGATGATTTCTAAGATTTCTTGCTGCGTTACTAATTTTTTTTTATTCCAATGATTGCCAGTGAATGGCATAAATTCGATGAAACGAATCTGAGTTTTTTTATCTTTTGTAAATTCGATAAAATCCAAAATCTCATCATCGTTTTCATTTTTTATAACAACCATATTTATTTTTAGATTTAAATCGCACTCCATTAATATTTGAATGTTTCTAAGCACGATGTCAAACTGATTTCTATTAGTCATTTTAAAAAAACGCTCTTTCTTTAACGTATCTAAACTTGCATTAATAGATTTTAATTTAGATGTTTTAATGATATCAATACATTCGTGAATGTTTGCAGCGTTGGTTGTAAGTGCTAATTCTACAGGAAATTTTGACAACTCGGAAATAATCTCAGGTGCATCTTTTCTTGCCAATGGCTCACCGCCAGTTAATCTAATTTTGTTCACACCTAAATCGACAAAGATTTTTACAATTTTTACAATTTCATGTAATTGCATTAATTTATGGGATGGGGCAAAATTGTAAACTTTTTCAGGCATACAATAATTACATCTCAAATTACATTGGTCAGTCAATGAAATTCTTAAATAATTATGTGTTCTATTAAAGTTATCCAAAATCATAATTGCATTTTAAAAGTAGATTGAAAATATATCTTTCGCCTCAATCTAAATCTTTCAATGATTCGAATATAAACATTTTAAAATCCTAGAACAAAGCAATAAATAAAACATTTAATGGGGGATAAAGTGAAAGGTCAAAGACCTTTTTCCCCTATAATTCACTCATTATTTTACTCGTCGTTCAAAATTTGCAAAAATATAAGTGCCTTAGAGATACAATAGAAGATCATAAAAAAACAACTGCAACCGAGTTCGCAATACGGAGAGACCCAGCGTGACAGACAGCACGCTTCTTTGCCGCCATTGTGCCTAACCAAAATGTATTGTTTTCATTAGACGATAGTGCAAAAAATCCTACGACGGTAAATAGAAAAACAACGCAGCCTTAATCATTTTGCAGGAGCTCCTCTGTTAAACCAATCGGTTAACTTGTCAATCTCTCCTTGGGAAAGGCGAGGATTTGGGGGGGTGGCATTGTTTTATCGGAAAGAGTGACGCGCTTTATGCGGTCTATGTTATTTTTAAAACTTGCATTGTAATCATTTGGATTGTAGGTCCAATTACGAGCATTCGAGTTCACCAACACCATGACAAGGAGCACAAAGATGGTTAAACCAAGGTCTCATAACACTGTGCGTAAAAGTCGTAGGCTCACCTGTATCCAATTCCCATTGCACATAAATGGTAATATCTGCTGTTACTATGGTAGTTCCAAAAACAAAGTCCATACCAGTTCCGTCTTTCATTGTATTCCATCGTACAATTTTGTAACCAGCGCGAACAGGAACTGTTGCGGGAGCGGGAGCGGTTTTTCCGCTTTCTACTTCAATAGTCGTTGAACTACCTGCATTTTCATGGTTGGCATTGAGAGTCACGATGTATTTTTTTGTTGAAGTAGGTGCGGTACATTCACCATTAAAAAAGACGAGCGAGAAAAATAGTAACAAAAATTGAACTTGCACGCCCCTTCCATATTCCAAAAATAGTTTTCTTATTTTCATTTAATTTTTTATTATGAGTTAAGACTTATTAACATAACGACACGACAAACAAAGTTAATTTATTTTTTGATTAAAAAAAACCCACTCATAAAATTTATAAAGATTGGCTAACAAAAAGCTAAATACAGAAATTGCATTGCGGTAATGAAGACATTGTGGACAATAGTGGAGTCGAACCACTGACCTTTTGCGTGTGAAGCAAACACTCTAACCAACTGAGCTAATTGTCCGTAGTGCTGCGAATTTAAACATAGAATGATTAAAGGGCAGCCTTTTTTTATCATTTATACAGTTTCAATTAATAATTTCATAACTTTTCAATTTGTTGTAATTATTTTCAAATTTCTATTCAAATTCATTTCAACCTTGCGCTATGATTAAATCATCTTCATTATACTTTGTTCTTGCTTTGTTTTTAACGGGTATGTTATTTTCGACCATTCCGTATTGGCATTATTCTTTCCCTGATTCACCAGATCTATACGTGCTCAATATTGCAAGCAGTATCGGCTACGGTGCGAGCCTTATTTCAATTTTTTTTATACTGCATCTAGTATTCGTAGCATTGAGTTCTCTTTCTCTTATCGTTCAGTTTTTACTCGTAAAATTTCTATATTGGCAAATTCTCCTGATAAAATTGAGTATAGGATTTCTTATTCTTTCAATTCTTTTTGGCATTATATCGTCAATTTTATTTTCTCAAAAACTTAGTGCAGGACAAATTATATCTTATCCAGGTATTGGTTTTTATTGCAATATTATTTCAATAATTCTAACAGCTACGGGTTTAAAGTTTACAAACCAAACAACCAATTAATTCGTGCATGAACAAATTCATTTTATGGACAATTGGTGACGGCAATGGAATTTCTCCCGAAATTATCCTAAAATCATTTCAACTGCTTCTTAAAGAAAAGAAGGGTGCACATTTTCCCCAAATTGCTGTTGTTGGACCATTTCAAATTTTACAAGACACAATAGTCAGGCTTAAAATTGACGTTAAAATAGAACGCATTAAGATAGAGCGCATTAGAAGGGAAAATAATGATCTTAATTTGGACAAAGAAACGTTGTACATCATTGAACCCGTGCCCGAAAGTGCATACAAAATAAGCTACGGGCAGATTTCAAAAGAGATGGGCTATTTGTCACTTGACGCTATCCGCATTGCAGCGCAGTTATGCAAAGAGGAACTCGCTTTAGGTATGGTTACAGCCCCAATTCATAAAAAGTCTATTCAACTTGCGGGCAGTTTGTTTCACGGGCATACAGAACTTTTAGGAACCCTTTGCGGAGATATTAAAACGCAGATGCTTTTTTATGACCGTGTATCACAGTTAAAATTAGCCCTTGCGACAACCCATGTTCCTCTTTCACAAGTTTCTTACGAACTTCAAAAAAGCAGTTTTCGTAATTTCATAAAAAAACTCATCCATAATATTAAAATAAACTTTCAAATAAACGCTCCAAAAGTTGCACTATTAGGAGTGAATCCCCACGCATCTGACTTGGGAGTAATTGGAACCGAAGAAACTACATTTTTACTCGATGAATTAAAAGACTTACAGCGTGAGTTTTCAATTTCTGGTTTTTTTTCAGCTGATGCCTTTTTTGGAATGAGACACTACTTAAATTTTGATGTTACTGTTGCTATGTATCACGATCAAGGTCTCATTCCATTTAAAATGCTTGCTTGGGAAACAGGAGTCAATGTAACATTGGGACTCCCTTTTGTAAGAACATCTCCGGATCATGGAACGGGGTTTGACATTGCGGGACGTGGAACAGCTCGCCCTGATAGCTTTTTAGCCGCTCATAATACTGCCGTCGAATTAATCCAAAATAGAAACATCTTCAACAGACAACTATTATAATCAAACAAAGATTCATATTATGCTTTCACTTAAAAACATTACTTATATTTCCAATAAAAAAACAATTCTAAATAATATTTCTCTTACCGTGTTTCAAGGCGACATTATCTACATTACAGGTCCAAGCGGCGCTGGTAAAACATCCATTCTAAAACTACTTTATATGGAAATCCTTCCAACCGCTGGCGAAGTTATTGTAGGCGAATTCTCTTCACGAACAATCAAAACGAGGCAAATTCCCTTTTTAAGACGAAAAATGGGAATCATATTTCAAGACTTTAGGCTACTAAGAGATAGAAATATTTATCATAACCTGGCTTTTGTACTTCAAGCCACAAGAGAACTCTCAGAGTCAATTCCACAAAAAGTTCAAAGTGCATTAAAGCAAGTAGATCTGTTACACAAACAATACGACATGCCGTCTTCATTATCGGGAGGTGAGCAACAAAAAGTTGCAATTGCGAGAGCCATTGTCCGAGAACCCAATGTCATTTTAGCAGACGAACCCACAGCCAATTTAGATGCAAAAAGTTCAGAAGAAATTATGAACATCCTTCATAAACTAAAAAAAAGAAACATCGCCGTAATTATTGTAACGCACGATCACGACATCATCTCACGATTTCCAGCTAAAACCTATTTAATGGAAAATGGAAAATTAGAAGCCGTTGAAATAGAAACCACCCCTTAGTTCGACTTATCGTCCCCAATAATTACCTGAGAAAATTTCTGCACCGTTTCCTGGTGAAGCGCTTCAATATCAAAATGCTGAATCCGTGTAAACATAACGTTTGCAAGTTCATCCAATAAAACGAAATCCTTTTTTTGAATGTCACTTTCTATCAAAGACCCTAAAAATACCATTTGTTCCGGAGTAAGGCTTTCCACAAACTTTTCAAGACTTGCTTTGTACACAATTTCTGCCATAAGCATTCATGGAATTAAATCCTAATTTAACGCACCACGACCATCCGCTTCGCAGGCAAAGTGCCACTTGACCCGCTTAACTTGTAAAAGTAAATTCCACTCGACAAAGAACTCACAGAATAAGCTGCTACATTTTTGCCCGATTTTCTTTCCTCGTTCAAAATAGTGGCAACCTCTTTTCCCAAAGCATCCACTAAAACGATTTTCGCACGCTGATTTTTTTCAAGCGAAAACGGAATTACCGTTGAGGTAGAAGCAGGATTTGGAAAATTTTGATAAAGACCAAAAACATTCTTATTTGACTCCTCATTTAAATAGTCAGCAATGCCAGACGTACCGCTTGGCGCTGATAACGTAGAAAACACCCCATTCCCATGCGTTGCAACAACTATCAATCCGTCACTCGAGCGACTTTTAATCATAGAAACAGGTACATTTCCAATTTCATTATGAATCAACCAAACAGGTGAAACAGTGGGCTGAATTTCTTCCAATGAATTTGTCGTGTACAAACCTGAAATGGTTCCCACTAAGTATGTTTTCTTTCCCGTAGCATCCTTTGCAATATTTACCCAGCGGCACGCCGTACCATTCCCAGAACCATCCGCCTTCTCTTCTAAATTCCCTGAAATATTTGACCATGTCGCACCCGCATCCTTTGTGTAAAACAAACTATTCACATCGTAATTTGAAAACACCACAATCGCAACATCAGCATCATCAGGATCTAACGCAATACAATTCACATAAGCATTTTGTGGAAAAAGAGCACTCTCAAGTGAAACGGGGTTAGAGGTGCTTATATGCGCATCGTCCATACGCTTTACTTTACCCTTAGTCGTTCCATAAAACACCCGATTCGCCTTAACACTTGATACAGCAACAGCAGAAATCTGATTCCCACCAAGCACTTCCGTAAATGATAAACTATTTGCTAACTTCGTCCAGTTTGTATTCGTTTTTACCTCACCAGGACTAATACCATCCAAATCACTATTCCTCCACAAATAAGGACCTCCCGCAAGGTACATCACCTTTGTATCAAGTGGATCAAGTTCAAAAGGATTTACAAAAAGATAGTTTAAAGTGCCGTCGCCCACAGGATCAACACGGTAAATGCTACTCCTTTTAATCATATAGGTTGTTCCATTTTGCAATGACTCAACGATTATGTTTGAACTGCGAATGGCGCAAAATGTACCATCACCCGATCCTACATTTCGCCATGAAACTTTCGCATCATCGGAAGTTGTCAAATACACGCTATTATCTTGCATACCTCCCAAGATCATATTTGCACCCGCTTTATTTTCTTCTTCTGAAGCATTCTGCGGGTGTATCGCAATTCCATAAAACTGTGTGGTTAAATAACCATTATTTAAGGATTCCCATGTAACGGACTCTGCTAAACAATCCGTAGTTTTCGAAATCCCCCCATCATGACCCGAAAATAAAATACTCGGATTGGTTGGATGAAACCACAACGAATGCTGATCGGGATGATGATTTGGATATTGACCTGTGTTGCTCTTTGGATCCGATGTATATCCTCCTATTCTAATCACGTTTGTAGATGTTGCTAAACCATCTGTTGTTCGGTATAAGTCAGTTCCTCCAAAAAAAACAACATCAGGATTATCGGGTTTAACCTCAACAACCAAATCATAACCCGCCTGTGAATTTAATCCCTGAACATCATCAAACCCAGAAACAACACCTGACAAATTACTCGAACGGTTCAACCATGTACCATTTACACCTAAACCATCGCCACTTTTAAATTCATATTTCCAAAAGCTAATCCATTCATCGGCTTCTTCATATTTATATCCTGCATTCGGTGTATTCATCAAAAAATACACAATATTTTGATTAGATGGCGCAATGCCTATTTTAGGCACAGTGATTTTTGTCGGAAAATTTGCCTCACCATTTGAAATTCTTTTCCACGTTTTTCCACCGTCTGTGCTTCTATGAACACCTGCTTCCGAGTAGTCTCCCGTCTCTGTGCTCCCCTTAATCAAATCCGAACCAAGAACGGCATAAAGAACCCCTGTTTTTGTAATAGCAATATCAGAGTAAAAAACAAAATTAAATGTTGTTGGTAAAATTCTCGAAAGCGTTCTAAGATTATTGCTCAACTTGAAAATACCTCCAAAGGATGCAATGTAAATTACTGTGTCCGTTGCAGTTGGATCAACTACAATTCTTGACGTGAGTGCAGTAAAATGAGGGAGTTTCGAAATATTTCCATATATCAAATCGCTTTGAGTTACTGGTATGATGTTCCATGTTTTACCTCTGTCAATGGACATAAACAGACCTTTACCACGAAGTATTCCTTCGCCAAATGAACTCACTGTTGAAAATAATTCACCTGTTGCTGCGAACCATAAATTCTCGCGTCCTACTCTTGGGTCTTGCACAAT